GGAGGGGATTCCCTGACCAGAGGGAGCACAGAGGGTGGATGTGGGAGGGGATTCCCTGACCAGAGGGAGCACAGAGGGGGGATGTGGGAGGGGATTCCCTGACCAGAGGGAGCACACGGGGTGGATGTGGGCGCTGATGATCTTGGCGATGCCCCTGGTGAGGAAGTCCCAGATGACGATCCTGCCGTCGTTGCAGCCCACGGCGAGCAGGGTGCCCCAGCGGTTGAAGGTGCAGGTCAGGGCCATGCTGATGCAGTCCAGGGTCCCGTCCGCCTCCTGCGGGGGGGCAGAGCAGGGCCGGGGGCGGGTCAGGCCGCGCCGCCGCCCCCACGGGCCGCTCGCAGCGAGCGCCGGGCCGGGGGCGGCCCCGGGGGCGGGGGGGACGCGTTACCTCGGGGTAGTTCTGGCCGAAGGACTCTGGGGGGGAGCGAAAACGCAGCCGGTGAGGGAGGGAGGGAGAGAGGGAGCGAGGGAGGCAGTTCTGCAGCCCCCGGCACGCCCCGCTCAGCGCCGGCGGCTCCGAACCCGCCCGCGGGTGGAGCCGCTCCCGCCGCCCCCCAGACCCAGCCCCGGAGCCCCCCGAGCTCAGCTCGCTCCAGCCGACCCCCAGCCCCGCTCCCAGCTCCCGGTGCCGCCGAGCCCCGGCTCCAAACCCTCCTGCGGACGGAGCAGGGACCGCCCGGTCCCACCCCCCGGTCCTGCCCAGCCCCGCAGTTCCCGGACCCCGGCCCCGCTCCCGGCCCTGTCAGCTCCAGTCCTGACCCGGTCCCGCAGATCCCCAGCCCGTATCCGGCCGCTCCCCGATCCTATTATCCCCCGGTCCAACCCCGCTGCTCCCGGTCCCGCCGACTCCCATTCCCAGCCCCAGTCCCATTCCCAGCCCCAGTCCCGCCGCTCCCGATCCCATTGCCCTCTCCTTTCCCGTTCCCGTCCCCATTCTCGCCCCCGTTCCCGGTCCCTCTCCCAGCCCCGTTCCCGGTCCCACTCCCAGCCCCATTCCCGCCCCCGTCCCCGTTCCCGGCCCGTTCCCGTCCCCACCGAGCAGTTCCAGGTTCATGTCGCCGCCGTCCCGCTCCCTCCGCTCCCGTCGCCGAAGGACCCCTCCGGGGGCCTACCCGGCTCCGCGCCCCCCGTCTGACGAGGTCCCGCTGCCCTCCCCGGCCCCGCCGCGCTGCCGGTGCCGCCCGGTCCGGCTCCCCCCGCCCAGCCCGGCGGCCCCGCGCGCTCCCAGCCCGGCCCCGCTCGCTCCGGGCGCGGCGGCGGCGCCGGGAATGGCGCCGGGATCAGGCAGCGCCGCGGGCAGCCCGGAGCGCCGCCAGGAGGGGCCGGGCGGGCGCCGCGGCCGCGCACGAAGGTTCCGGGGCGGGCGGGAGGAACGGCGGCAGCGCCGGAGCGCCTTTAACGGGGGACAAGGGATGTAAAATAAAATACTGTAAAATAAAATATTATTAAAATATATAAAATAAAAAATATAAACGAAAATAAATTAAAATAAAGATATACAAACGAAACTAAGCTAAAATATGTAAAATAAAATAATATAAACTAAACTAAAATATATAAACTAAACTAGAACAAAATCAAATAAAATATATAAAACAAACTAAACCAAAATAAACTAAAATAAAAATAAATAACACAAGCTAAACCAAAATAAACCAAAATAAACCAAAATAAACCAAAATAAAAATACATAAAACAAACTAAACCAAAATAAACTAAAATAAAAATGTAAAACCAAAATAAACTAAAATAAAAATATAAACCCAAAATAAACTAAAATAAAAATATATAAAACAAACTAAAGTAAAACAAAATTATAATAAAATAAAAATGTAAAAAGTAAAATTTTAAAAATTAACTAAGATTAAAGTTAAAAATAAAAATATAATTCTTTTTTAAAAAAAACGACAGAGTAAAAATGATAAAATTAAAAGTTAAAATAAACAATAAAAAAGACTAAAATAATTAAAATTTAAATAAAATAAAAAATAAAATAAGAAAAAAAGTTTTTAAGACCTGTGGGAGTTTGGAGCAGATAAATCATGGAATGCTGGAATGGTTTGGGTGGGAAGGGACCTCAAAGCCCATCCAGTGCCACCCCCTGCCATGGGCAGGGACACCTTTCACTAGCCCAGGTTGCTCCAAACTCTGTCCAACCTGGCCTTGGACACTTCCAGGGATGGGATGTGCAGACAGGGAAGGAGTGTCTGTTTTAGGAAAAATAATAAAATAAAATAAAGTAAATTAAAATAAACCCCAATTCTTTGTGTCACTCCTTTAAGGTAAAACATCCCACACCCCAAAAACCCCCAAAAATGGAAAAAAGGGATCCAGGAAGCTACAACCAACTCTGAAAAGGCATCAGGGAAGTGTCAGGAAAAGCTCTACGAGACATTTCTGGAATTGCAGATGCAGAAGTTTCAGTTTTATTCAGACTTTTATTATTTACACAAACGCCCCCCAGCCCTTGCAAGGACTGAGCTCGACCCTCCCGGGTTTCAATCAGGTTTGAGAGCCCCAGGCCCAGGGTTAATACTGTTAGTGGGGGCCTGGGAGTGCCCTGGGAAACAGGGATTCTCCTCTGGAAAAGTAGGGTAGTGCTTGGCACTGCCCGCTGGAGCAGCTGGACCTGCACAGAACCAGCCTGGAATTCCAGCACAGAGGTGGGATCCACACAAAACCACCCTGGAATGGAGCACAGACCACAGAGAACCAACCTGGAATTCCAGCACAGAGGGTGGATCCATAGAAATCCACTCTGGGAATGGAGCACAGACCATGGAGCTGCACAGAACCACCTTGGAATTCCAGCACAGAGGTGGGATCCACACAAAACCACTCTGGAATGGAGCACAGACCATGGAGCTGCAGAGAACCAGCCTGGAATTCCAGCACAGACCATGGAGCTGCACAGAACCAGCCTGGAATTCCAGCACAGAGGTTGGATCCACACAAAACCACCCTGGAATTCCAGCACAGACCACAGATCTGGCACAGAATCATCCTGGAATTCCAGCACAGACCATGGGTCTGGCACAGAATCATCCTGGAATTCCAGCACAGAGGTTGGATCCACACAAAACCACCCTGGAATTCCAACAGAGGCTGGATCTGCACAGAACCACCCTGGGAACACCAGCAGAGGTTGGATCCACACAAAACCACTCTGGGAATGGAGCACAGACCATGGATCTGGCACAAAACCCCCCTGGAATTCCAGCACCCAGCTTGTCTCCACACAAAACCAACCTGGGAATGCCAGCACGGCCCACAAAATGCCCACAAGGTGCAGATAAGTAAAAAAAAAAAAAAAAGAAAAAAAGGGGAAAAAAAAGTCCTTTTTTTCTCTATAAAAAGCAAATTAATCCATTTATTGCACAGAGAAAGGAAGGGTTGACCTAAAGCAGCGCTGCAGGCTCCGGATCCCTTCCCTTTTTCCAGGCTGTCCCACAGGCAGGGGAGAAGCTGGAATTTCGCTGCGTTTGAGCCAAGAAATTCCAGCAGCAAGGTGCAGCAGTTCCACATTCCCACGCTTTCCTGGGAAAAGGGAGGCACTGCAGGACCAGCAGCCCCAGGGAGAAGTTGCCAACTCGCCCTTTGCTCCCGTAGTGGCCAAGGTGCATCCTCTGCTCCAGCTCCCACTCTGCCCCAGAAACACCCAAGGATGGGGGGTTTTTTTGGGAGCAGCCTCTTGGGAAAGGCACAGGGCCCCCCATCCCTCAGTTTTTTTAGTCTTGCCAGCCAAAGTGGAGCCCCAGAGGGAAAGCCCAGCTCCTGGAGAAGGAAGGACCTGTTTGGTTCTTGGGGTTTTTTTCGCTCCAACCACACCCAGGGTTTAAAAAAAAAAAGCTGAAGAAACTTCAGTTTTTAAAAAGGTGCCTGGCAGAGTTGGCACAGTTTAAAACTGTCATTACTTTTACTGCTAATTGAACACCCTCTCTCCCCCCCCAAGTTTTTAATTAAAATGACTTGGCACTTTCCCCATGGGCATGGAATGACTTTGGGGCAGCACTACCAGGTGGAACCTCTGAGCAGTCTCAGCATTTTACCACAAAGACTGGGAAGGAAAGGGCAGGTTCCTTCAGGCATTCAAAGAACTATTAGGAAGCAAAATGACCAGAAAAAAAAAAAAGAGCTTTTTTTTTGTTTGTTTGTTTGTTTGTCTTTTAACAGGAGTAAGAGGTGAAGGGCACATAAAGGATAAATAGCTTATAAGGTGTAGGGAGGGTTGCAAATCCCCCCCCAGTAAAACATGGAAGCTTTGCTCCTGTCAATGTAAACATCTCAAGTGTTGCAGAAACTCCTACAGATGCTTCTAAACACTTCTAGCCTAGAGTTTTTGTTTTGTTTTTTTTTTTTTTGCTTTCTCCTTCCTCTCCAACCGCTCTGGAATTAGTGCCATCGACGAGGGACCGGGATGGATCCGTGTGGCCCCCGCAGTTCCTGGGAAGAGCTTTTCCTTCGCTGAGTAAAGCCTGGCGTGGGCACACAGACAAACACACACACACACACACACACAATGCTTTGCTTGGCTGGGTTGGTGGTGTGGGATT